CGCCTATCGTCGTCATCAACGGTGTGCCCATTCTGCAGCTTCTCCCTCGTGGCTACTCTGCTTTCGATGCGTACATCTCCGAGCCCGAGCACGAGCCCGAGCGCAGCGACGAAGATGAAACCGGTCCCGGTCTTTCGCCACGTTGGGGAGACCCGGAAGACTGCCCGCACGACGAATCCGCCACCGGTGCCGAAGACGATGTTGAGTGGTGGGCGGCCGACGGTCTTCCCGAGGACTTGCCTGTCCCAAGTTTTCCCCCGCCCAATAAAAAAAGGCCCCACCCCTGCACCCAGAATCGTGATTCCCGCCCCTCGTCTCCCAGGAGCAGGCGCTCAAGGCACAAGCGGCACTCCTATACTTCTCAGGAGAAGCTGCACTGGATTTCACAGCTGGAGTCCGGTGCCGTGAGTATGCGGAAGATGGCACGCGACTCTGGTATCTCCCGAAAGTCCCTCGCAGTATGGAAATCGCGGAAGGGTGAGCTGGAGGGCGCGCATGGGGCTCGCAAGCGTCTTCACGGGCGTGGTCGGTCGTCGTGGTATCGCGACATGGAGATCCAGGTCTACTCACGAGTACTTGCCGCCCGGAAAAAGTGCCTCGCAGTGTCGGTCGGCCGCCTGCAGCAGTGGTCGCGAGAGGTGATGAAGAGCCTGCATCCTGAGGTAAAGTGGGCGGGATCTCAGAGGTGGACCGAGCGTTTTCGGCGCCGCTGGAATCTCACTACCCGAGCTAAGACCCGTGTCGGCCAGAAACTATCCTCCGGTGAGTGGGCTTTTTGAATTCGCTCTTGTTTATCCCCTTTGCCAACCGGTCGATAGTTAATGTTTTTTTATGGTTTCTGCCTCCCCGTCCCTTCCAGAGTGCGAGACGCAAGTGCGAAACTTCTGGAAGTTCGTGCGACACACCCGCCGACAGTACGGAATCGACAACCGCTGGATCATAAATGCTGATCAGACCCCGCTCTGGCTCGAAATGCCAGCTGAACGCACTGTCGAGGAGGTGGGGGTCCGCTCCGTGCCCATCCGCAGCGGCGGCTATCAAAAGGAACGCGTGACGGTGATGCTTGCGTGCACCGCCAGCGGCGAGAAGCTCAAGCCCTGGGTGTTCTTTAAGCGCAAGACAGTTCCAAAGGGGAATTTCCCCTCCGGTAAGCCGAGCAGCTTGTGCAGTCCCGGTAGCATTTGAATGTGTTTTTTTTTTTTCTGATGTCAATCTCAACGTTGTGCGGATGTGCAGATGTCGTGGTCGCCGCACATCCCAACGGTTGGATGGACGCGGAAGGCGTCCTCACGTGGCTCGACGGTACGGTGGGCCCGTACGTCAACCCGAGGTTCGGAGTGCGCAGCAGGAGAGCGATGTTGGGGCTTGACTCCTACCGCGGGCACCTGACTGATCAAGTGAAGGTGAAATTTGGCGAGCTGCGTATCGTGCCGGCCGTCATACCAGCTGGCTGCACATCGGAGGTGCAGCCGTTGGACGTCGCGGTGAACCGCTCCTTCAAAGCAGCTGTGCGACAACAATACCAGCAATGGTTCGAAAGCGAGGGTGTTGACTGCCTGACTGAAAGAGGTGAGATTGAAGATTTACCGGTAGGACTATTTTTTAATTATTGACCCTGTTCTACCGTAACTGATGAATCTTTAACGTGTGGCAGGCAACATCCGCAAGCCACCACCTGAGCTGACGCTCAAGTGGATCTCCAAGGCCTGGAAGGCGGTGCCCAAGGAGTTGATTGAGCGCTCGTTTCTGACCTGCGGCATCAGTAACGCCTTGGACGGGTCTCAGGACGGTCTCTGCCTGCAGCACCGGCGGGATGCCGTCAAAGGCGAAGTGGATCTTGACGACGAGATTGCAGCAGATGGATTCTGCTGCAACAACGTAGACGAGCCAGAGTCGGACGGTGAGACCGCCGACGAAGGCACTGCCACTGCCGAGGAGGATGCATAGGTTGTGGGTAAAGTACGGTAGAAATGTGTAGGACGTGATAATCTGATAGAAAATGTAGAAAATGCGAATATGTAGTCAGATATTAAAAGAAAACGTAGGATACAAATTGTAACAGCGTAAAACTTAAAAATGTAGAATTTTAATGGTGAAAATTATAATGTGTAAGGTAGTAGGGGTGCGCTTATAATCCGTAAGGCTTGAAGCATGCGCTTATAATCGAGGAGCGGATATAAGCGCCCTCATCCTTTTATAAGCGCCGGCGCTTATCATAGGCATGCGCTTCTATCCGGGGGCTTACGGTACTTTACTGTTGCGGTTCGATACAGTGCGACTCGGGCAACTGCTCAATGTCGAGTCAGTTGTATGTCCTTGCTGTCGCGTTGTATTTGTCAGGTCAAAGGTCGCTGACCTTTGACTTTCGCGTAACCTCCAGCGGTTACATCAACCTCCGAGGGTTGACTCGCTGGTGCTTCGATTGCGTTGCTTCGCTTGTGTCTTAGAGTTTCGACACGACAGAGGCGTTTAGGACTTATTTGTTCCCAACAAGTTCCCCCCTGCTCACTCTTTCTTTTCCCCTGTTCTTGCTCTCCCCTTCGTTGTCCCTATGCCACTCGTTATCTTACAATCTGTTTATGCTCCCCTGTCTGCTCCTTTGCACCTCCCCACTCCCTTCTGTGGTGCAGGTAATTGTGCATGAAGCAGACAAGATGGTAACTACCAATAGTCGATCTTAGGATAGTGTGGACCCTCTCCATTTGAGCCTACGTGGATGTCATGTTATTCACAACAGAATATTCATTCATTTTCAAGTTCGGGATATCTAAATGTTTGGTTTTCTGTGAAGGTCTCCTTTTGCATCACTGCTATACATAGAGAACAAAACAGTGCGCCACCACTCCACTTAGTGCCTCAGCTCCTCTAAGTGCTCTTGCGCCTGCTGCTGCACCCTTGCGCCACGAAACATGTGAAGGCACGGTTTCGTCCTACACATAGCAGGACACCAGTGGAGGTAGCACTCTCACTTGGTGATGCAGGGAGGAGAGATGGGAAGGCAGGGAGATAAATAAGGGAGGCAGGGAGGTGAAGAGACGCGAATGGATGGGAAGGGTAGGGAAGGGAAGGGAAGGGAAGGGAATCGAAGGGAAAGGAATAGAGGTAAGGGGAAAGATAAGGGAAGGGATTGGAGGGGAATGGAAGCGTACGGAAGGGAGGAGTAGTGCATTGTGAGGGAGTGAGAAGGTGCTCTGTGAGGGGGAACGGGAAGGTGCGACCTGGGGGGAGGGGAAGTGCGACCTGGAGGGAAATGAGGGGAAGCAGGGGGGGAAATGAGGGGAAGCAAGGGGGGCATGAGGGGAAGCAGGGGGGGAAATGAGGGGAAGCAGGGGGGGGGGAGGAGGGGTGAAATGAGTGCAAACAGGAGGGGAATCTGAGTGCATGGGTTTGAGCTGGGGGGAGATTGAAGGACAGGGGCGAGGCGGCGCTACTTTAGATTGCGAGCCGCCTGGTCACACGATTTTAGAAGAGCTAAGGCGTTAGGCCAGCAAGCAATTCGCTAAATGCGGATCATGAGACGCGTTATGTAGAGTCAACAATGTGGCGGCAATGAAGAGGCGGCGATGTGGCGGCAATCTGGCGGCGATGCGCCGACGAGAAGGCGAGGCGTCGCACGGCCACGACACAAAGCAGGGGGGAGGCGAGTTCGGCGGGGAGGCGAGAGGCTGTAGAGGATGTGAGGTGGCGAAACGACGAGGAGGCAGCAAGGACAGGAAAACGACGCGCCGCGCAGGCGACGACGTCACGAGCTAGCCGCGATGTCGCCATGCGGCATGCGATGAGGCATAACCATGTATCCGTGAAAGAAAGAACACTTTACTCGTGGTCTACATCGTTGTGGCGCTTAGGGAATGCTTGCGTAGCTGCCTTGATTCGAAGTTGTGTGGTTTCTAAGCTTGAAGCTATCCCTGGTTTATCACTCGCTTTATCTCCGCTTGCTTGTCGGATCCCAACGCTTGATTTCCGCCTTCCCGCGCTGTGTTCCCCCAACCCAACCTTTCGTGCGAAATTGGTTTGTATCGCCTGCCTTGTTTCAATTCCTCGCACCAGCTTTACGCGCCCTGCACAATTCGCCCTCAAATCAGCAAGCGCCAAAGGGTGTGCACTGACAATGCACCCAAAAACCACCCCTAGGAATGGGCACCCCTGCTTTAAGGTGTCAACTCAAACTATCAGTCTCCATCGATTTCGAACCTATCCATGTACCGTACCGTACCCAAGGGCGTGTTCCTATGTCTCTGTTCTTGTCAGACTTGCCTGGTACAATGTGCGAAGAGCTTTGGGTTTATGCGGGTGTGATGCAGCGCGCTGCGCGAGTCTGATAAGAGGTTGGCCTGATAAGGGGTCATAGGAACTCGCCCTTAGAGCGTGTTCCTACACCTCGTATCAAGAGAACCTCATATCAGGCTCACACTGAAAATTCCCCTAAACCCAAAATCTCGCTAGCTTTACCAGGCAAAAAGTACATTCTTGATACGAGCTTTCCTGATACGAGGCCATAGGAACACGCCCTTAGACGATCAACTACTAACATGCAAGCACAGTGCACAATTTGCAGGTTATGTGAGGTTACATATGAAGTGCCCAGCTAGCAAGAGGTAACCATACGACAGGTATGTTACATGCAGTGAGCAAAAGGATTGTTGTACCGCATCTATGCTGAAAGAATTACGCTGGAACGGAGCCAAGTATCCTTAATGGTTCTTCTCCGGCGGCGCTTCACAAGCAATCCTCTCATGTGGCCCGCACCGCATACCCCCCCCGTGTGCCCCATGCAACCACCATCCCTTCCAGATAATCACTTGGAACGGAGCCGAGTATCCTCAATCAGCAGGCGCATGAATCGTCTCCGGCGCTTCACAATCCTCCCAGCATCTGTGGCAGTCGCAATCCCCATCTCGTCATTTGTAAATGCCGGCACAGGACCAAAGAGGCAGTAGGCCAGGATAGCAGCTGCAACCAACCCACAAGGTACACACATATGTGATACGTAAGATGCACTAAAACACAACAGGCAGGCTTTCGCATAAGCAATAGGTGCCTTAAAACACAATGGACGTGTACAGGCACACCGAGGTGGGTCATGAGAATGAAGCACCACCACGCATTAACAGATGGAAAACACAAACACAATACAACGACAAAAATAAGCACACGAAATGAAAAGCAGCACTGTAGACTGTACACTGTACACTGTACGCCTTACCCAGCTCATGAATGGCGAGTCGATTCGCAATGCGGTTCCGCAGCAGCGCCTGGATGAGAGCCAGCAACGAGTCCACCACACCCAGCTGCACCGCACCCAACCGCTCCGCCAGCAGCGTAGCCGCAGCACCCCTTGCCCACCCCTCCCTACACGCCACCTCCTCCCCCACACTCGGGGGAATAATAGGCTCAGGAAGGGCTAAGAGGAACGAGACGAGCGCACGAGCCATGGTAAGCGGGGAGGTTTCGGTGGGGAAGGGTGTGCCGGTGTCGAGTGCGAGACGGATGGGTGCAATCTGCAGCTCCTGAGCTACTGCACCCAGTGCTGCTGCCTTGGCCGCTAGGAACTGAGTCGACCCTGGCCCGTCCCCTTCCCCTGCCCCTGCTCCTCCTGCTCCTCCTGCCCCTGCTCCTCCTGCTCCGCCTCCTCCTGCTGCCGTGGCTCCTCCTGCTGCGAGGTCTGCTGCAGCAGCGCCCACTGCCCCTGCTGCGGCACCCACAGCGCCAGCAGCAGCAGCTACAGCCAGAGCAGCAGCGGTAGAGAGCCCTGCCACCCCGCCCCGACTCAAGGTGCGGGATAGCTGAGGCAGCACACCGCCTGCACCAGCCCCAGCACTGCTGCTGCTCCTGGCGAAGCTGCTGCTGCCGCCAGAGCTGCTGCTGCTGCCAGGGTTGCTATTGAAGCTGCTTTCCGGGGTGGTGGAGAGGGAACTAACCGCAGCAGACAGCACATCGGACGAGAGACTCGCGCTGCGAGCGTGCGAGAGCGAGTGAGGGTGCCCGTGCGGGGTGGAGTGCGAGGAGGGGAAGGGGGGCGCACGGGTGCTGTCGTCCTGGTCAAGAGAGAGGTCGATGCCGAGAGCGATGGGGTCAAAGGCGGAGGAGATGTCCTGGCCAGAGTCCAGAAGGAAGGTGAGCATGCGAGCCACCTCCTTGGGCACCTCAAACGCGTCTGATGCATGGGATGGGTTTCCAGCTGCTGCCCGTGCCGCTGCTCCTAATGGCCGATCGTCCTCCCCGCCTGCAGAAGCGGAGTTATCGTCGTCATCGGCGTTGTCAGTTTCGGAGGCTTCTGGGATGCTGCCAGCAGCTGTAGGTCGGCTGTGGCGGAGGGAGGATCGCTGGCGTGTGGCGATGGCGTCGAGAGAGAGCGAGCGGATGGGGTCCTTGAGACCTGCTAGGGCCTCCAGGCTAGGGGGTGGGGAATGAGGGTGGAGGGAGAGGAATGGCAGGCATGATAAGGGGACAAAACGGAGGGAATGAGGGTGATGGCATTGAGGGAGAGCGAGCGGATGGGGTCCTTGAAACCTGCTAGAGCCTCGAGGCTAGGGAGTGGGGAGCGGGGTGGAAAAAACGAGGGAAGGACGAATGAAGGAAAGCGGGAATGGAAGGGAATGGGGTTGGCGTGGCAAGGGAGCGAGAGGATTGGGTGTTTGAGGCCCGCCAGTGGCTCTAGACTAAGGGGTGGGGAGAAAGCGGGGAAGGAGAGGAACGGCAGACAGGGGTGTTGAACGGGAGGGGAGGCATAGGAATGGCAGGAAGAATGGAGGAGGGAGAGGAGGTGGGATGAGGGAAACGGTGTTGATGAAGAGAGGGAGAGGCACTGGAGTCGCATGCAAGGGAGTGGGCAAAGAATAAGAACACCCACAGCAACACATATCGCAAGCCACGAATAGCCACACTCACCGCAGGCCCCAGCAGGACGGCACGTAGCTCCCAGAGCACGCCACAAACAGGTCCCCGCCGCCCGCAATCGCGACCACCAAAATCAAATCCAGCAGCCCCCCGCGATCCACCAACAAATCCACCCGCGTGCCCGGCACAGCCACCCAGGTGTGCAGGCTGAGAGTCACTGTGTGGCCTGGTGCCACTGCCCCTGCTGCTGGTTCTGCCACCACCCATGCCCCGCACCCCCCTGCAGGGCCGGGGGCAGCGGTGTCTGTGCTGCCTGCCGGGGCCACGGAGAAGTGCGCGGGCACCGTGCCGAGATTGTGCAGCTCTATGGTTCGCCGGATTACAGAGGCGTAGGGCACCTGGCGGGGGAGGGAGGGGAGGAGGAGAAGAGGGGGTGAGGGTTATGTGGATGAGGGATGGAAGGGTGAGAATCGGGCGGGCACCGTGTCGAGATTGTGGCGTTCAAAGATTCGCCGGGCGACAGAGGAGTAGGACACCTGGTGGGGGCAGGAAGAGGGGAGAGCGAGGGGGGGAGAAAGGGAGAGAGAGAGAAGGGGAGAAGGGACACAGAGAGTTGTTGTGTGATGCTATCATATGCATACAGGTATATCTGACTCACATCCTATGTTCGTACGTTGCACGCGTGGTGTGAGCGTTTGCAAGAGTTTGTATTTGATGTGTTATGGACTTTGTAAGTGTGTGTGAATCTCATCTTGCTGGAACAAATATTTAAAATGTCTTCTTTGTTCAAGAGCGTTCTGGTGAACCAAGAATCATCTCAATCGGATCACGAACGAGAAAGTTACGACCGGTTGAAATTTGAAAGCTATTTTTTTTTTGCGGCAACTTTGAAAACTTGTGGGGTGACTCTACATGGAGTAGGGGCCATTGGCGGTTTGCAATATTTAGCATTTCATTGTAATTGGTGCCAAGTGGTTGGCAGAAGTCAAACTAGGTTGGCAAGTGTGGATAATCTGGGTGAGATCGATGACATGGGTTGGAAAAATGACCAAGATGAAAATTGGGTTGCTATAAGGAAGGGATTTTGTGAGCTTGAAATTGGAGACAACCAGTGTTGTCGTTCATCCAGCTGGGGACACACCACAACCACAGCAGCATTGAACCGCTCTCTCTCCACCGCCTCCACAGGCCGATGTTCTGAGAGAGGCAGCTCCACCCAAAAATCGGCCCAACAGTATGAGACCAACTGCAGCGCATTTCACAACTCACCTCTCAAAACGCCACAGCATGTGCGCTGAGAGAACAATGCACGATCGCCAGCTGCTGTCGTTCATCCAGCTGCCTGCACGCCACGGCCACAGCAGCATCGAACCTCTCCCTCTCACCGCTTCCACTTGCACCGCAAACACCGCCGCCACCAGCACTATTGGTGCCACTGTTCGTATGCCTAGCCCCCAAACACCACACCTTCACACCTGAGTCGCCTTTGAGAGTTTTTGAAAGAGTCACCCCAATGCAACCCCCCAAATTCGATTGCATGGGCACTGAACGAGCAGTGCCGAATCGCCAGCTGCTTCCGTTCATCAAGCTGTCGGCACGCCACGGCCACAACAGCATCGAACCTCTCCCTCTCACCGCTTCCACTTGCACCGCAAACACCGCCGCCACCGGCACTACTGTGCACCTGCCTAGCCTCAACTTGCGACTGTGGTAGATGTGCCTAGCCCAAACATCACACCTTCACACTCCGACTCACCTCTCCGAATTCCACGGCATGAGCGCTGAGAGAGAAATGCGGAATGGCGAGCTGCTGCCGCTCGTCCAGCTGCCGGCACGCCACAGCCACGGCAGCATCAAACCTCTCTCTCTCCACCGCCTCCACCTGCACTGCAAACACCGCCGCCACCGGCCGATGGTCCGACAGCGCCAACTCCGCCCGCGAGTACGACACCAGTTGCAAGGCATCACTCGCATACCCCCCCATGCTGCTCATGCTGCCACTGCTGGCGATCCCGGTGGTGGTGGTGGTGGTGCTGGGGCTGGGGATGCTGATGCTGGTGGGGGGGAGGCTGTCAGTGGCGTCCCCCGAGTCGTACCAGAGGACCCGGTCACACCAGGCGGGGGTTCGGCGCTTCTCCCCGTCCTCCTCGTCCTCCCCCACGTACCGGTTGCTGCCCGCTGCATACTTGTAGGTCGGGGCAAAGAAGATGGGACCCTCTCGCCACCCTGGGAGTGCGCCTCCCTCTGACAGTTCCCACCGCAGCTGCAGGGAGGGGTGGGGAGGGAGGTGGGAAGTTGCGCATCTGAGGTGCCTCATACATAGTGCCTGTAGCCTGTAGGTTGGGGCGAAGAACATGGGGCCCTCGCGCCACCCGAGGAGCGCCCCTCCCTCTGACAGCTCCCACCGCAGCTGCAGGAGAGAGAGAGTGGCAGGGAGGTGGGGAGGTAACGCAGCTAGATGGCCAGGTGCAGCAGCACAGTTGCATGTGGTGTATTCACATTGGGACGAGAGGACCAAGGCCTTATACTGCCTTGGGAACCCCCACATTGTGTCAGCTCCCAGCGCAGCTAGAGGTGAGAGTGAGGAAGTCGGGGAGTTCACGCACTTGAGTTCCATAATCCATCATTCGCTGCAGCTCGCAAGTCCCAGTGGCACACGACTCATTCCTTCCCACTGCAGCACCACCCCTAACATCTCACAGCACACCCAGCACCACGCAGGCACATCATGCTAGAGCATCCCACAGCACCGCACTGCACCGCATCTCACCTGGTCGTGCTGCAGCAGCGCCTCCCAGTCACGCTTGGCCAGCAGTGCACGCGCCTCCAAATCCGGCAGCTCGAGGCGGTAGTTGAGATCTCCAAAGAAGAATACGCGACTAGTGGAGAAGGGAGTCAGAAAGTGTGGGAGATGGGACAGAATGTCTGAGAAAGGAGGAGTGGAAATGAGGGGGGGAGGGTTGGATGGAAAGTAGCTCGAGGCGGTAGTTGAGGTCTCCAAAGAAGAACACGCGACTGGTGGAGGGGTGGGGGGGAAAGAGGGGAGAGGATGGGGAGCAGGGCAGGGCAGAGAGAAGGGAGGGAGGGTAGAGATTGGATTGGGAGGCAGCTCGAGGCGGTAGTTGAGGTCGCCAAAGAAGAACACTTGACTGGTGGAAAGTGTGGGAGATAAGGCAGAATGTCAGATTAGGGGGGAGTGGAAATGAGGGGGTGAGGCTGTTGTAATTTCATATTTCATACAACATACATAGGCTAGAAGTGTAGCACATTTATAAATTGGGGGGTTGCTTAGTGTACCCTCCAACCACATTTTGTGGTTGCTTGGGTCACAAGCAAGCTCACCCATTGGCCAACTTATTGGCCAATAGGGTAAGCTTCCCTCTCATCTCTCTCTTGCTCATTGTTTGTACTAAAGAGCCTCTTGGCTCATTATTCAATGTATCAATTCTAGCTCTCCAACATGGTATCATGAGCTATTGGCTCACGCCTTCATCCCTCGGTCCTTAGGCCACCCTCTCCTCCCCGTCCCTCAGACGTAGTCCTACCACGGTGCTCCCAAGCTCAGATTCACTCCTCCCGAGCTCACATCTCCTCCTCCCGAGCTCCGATCTACTCCTCCCCAGCTCAGATCTACTCCTCCCGAGCTCAGATCTACTCCTCCCAAACTCAGATCTACTCCTCCCGAGCTCAGATTTACTCCTCCCGAGCTCAGATCTACTCCTCCCCAGCTCAGATCTACTCCTCCCGAGCTCAGATCTACTCCTCCCGAGCTCAGATCTACTCCTCAACAGCTCAGATCTACTCCTCCCGAGCTCAGATCTACTCCTCCCGAGCTCACATCTCCTCCTACCGAACTCAGATCTACTCCTCCCGAGCTCACATCTCCTCCTCCCGAGCTCAGATCTACTCCTCCCCAGCTCAGATCTACTCCTCCCGAGCTCAGATCTACTCCTCCCCAGCTCAGATCTACTCCTCCCGAGCTCAGATCTACTCCTCCCCAGCTCAGATCTACTCCTCCCGAGCTCAGATCTACTCCTCAACAGCTCAGATCTACTCCTCCCGAGCTCAGATCTACTCCTCCCGAGCTCAGATCTACTCCTCCCGAGCTCCCATCTCCTCCTCCCGAGCTCAGAATTACTCCTCCCGAGCTCAGATCTACTCCTCCCCAGCTCAGATCTACTCCTCCCGAGCTCAGATCTACTCCTCCCGAGCTCAGATCTACTCCTCCCAAGCTCACACCTCCTCCTCCCGAGCTCAGATCTACTCCTCCCGCGCCCTGCTCTACTCCTCCTGCCCTCAGATCTGCGCATTTCGCGCTCAGATCTGCACATTCCGCACTCAGATCTACTCTCCCGCGCCCAAATCTGCATTCCGCGTGCTCAGATCTGCAACTCGCACGCCCTTGCTAGTCCGACCGCGCGCCCTGGTCGTCCGCGCTCTGCTCGACCGCCCTTCGCGTCCCCGCCCTGCCCGTCCGCACGCCCTGCTCGTCCGCGCCCTGCCCGTCCGCACGCCCTGCTCATCCGCCCTTCGCGTCCGCGCCCTGCCCGTCCGCGCGCCCCAGTCATCCGCACCCTGGCCGTCCGCGCGCCCTGTTCGTCTGCACGCCCTGCTCGTCCGCGCTCCGGTCGTCCACACTCTCCCCGTCCCGCGCACTCGTTGCACGCCCTCCTTCCCCGCTCGATGTCCCCCTCCCCTCGTCCGCCCCCTGCCCACCTCCCTGGCATACAACACATCTGCACGCGCATACAGCACATCTGACAGCACATACTGCACACGTGACAGCACATACCGCACACCTGACAGCACATACCGCACACCTGACAGCACATACCGCACACCTGACAGCACATACCGCACACCTGGGAGCACATACAGCACACCCGCCTACGCATACCGTCAGCTGCGTGCGCACACCTTCATGCCCTGCTCGCCTGCGCCATGCCGTGACCGCCCACACCCCACATTGCTTCCCCCATGGCAACAGTCGCGCTGGCATGCATCAGCAGTGGTACCGGTGGGCATGGAAGAGGGCATAGTGGCAGCTGTGGTGGTGGTCAAGGGAGACTCGCAAGATATTGTGGTGTCACGGGTTTGAGCGCAGGCTGCGGCGCAGCAGCAACCTTCTCTCCTCGTGAATATGTGCCTCGCTATGGCCCGACTCGAGGACTTCAGTGTAAACTCTCCACCCAAGCCCACCATGCCCCGAGTCAACCCTTCTCTCTACCTCAGCCTCCTCCTCCTCCTCCTCCTCCTCCTCCTCCTCCTCCTCCTCCTCCTCCTCCTCCTCCTCCTCCTCCTCCTCCTCCTCCTCCTCCTCCTCCTCCTCCTCCTCCTCCTCCTCCGCAGCAACAGCAGCACCAGCAGCAGCTCTGGCACCTCCTCCTCCAGCTCCAGCAGTTGCTCCACCGCTTGCAGCAGCACCTTGACCTACAACCGCAGCTGCCTCTTCCTCCTCCTCCCCCAACTTCCCAGCAGAACTCAGTTCCGCATTGTTCCACAAGCTCCGCCACTTCAAGCATCGTCCCACCTTTCTCATCCGTTGGTATCGCTGGTATGGTCAATCAAGCCACATCAACTGCACCTGCCACATACTCCTCTAGCACTAACGAAACTGCGTTCCAGTCCTCTGTCCCTTCCTCCTCCCTCTCCTCCATTGTCGATTTTGTCCTCGACAGCGGCGCCACTGACACAGTTCTTCGCGATGCTGGCACCTTGCGCCCCCTCCCAACGCCTACCTCCCTCCTTGGTGCCGACAGCAGCTTCTCTATCCCCTGCCATAACACCTCGACTCTCCCCTGCCCACTCTTCCCCTCAGGCACTGTCACCGGTCTCCACATACCCTCTCTTCGCGCTAATCTCCTTTCGCAAAGGTCCCTTCAGCAAGCCGGTATCACCACAGTATTCCCAGCTCATGCTAACTATTGCGCTCTCTACCATTCCGCCACCGATCAGTTCCTTTCTCGCATTCCCTTTTGCCCTCGCTCCCGTCTGTACACCCTTCGGGTTCCTCGCCTCCCCTCCTGTCAGGTCATCTCTCGTCCCCCCCTCCACCCTCTCATCCCACCTCCTCCTCTCCCTCCCACTAACCCGGACCTCCTTCCCGCCCCCCCCCTTGACTCCTCTTGCTCCTGTCGCTCCCTCTCCCAACCTGCCGTCCTCCTCCATCACAGGCTAGGTCACCCTAACTTCGCTACTCTACGCTCCTCTGTTTCCACCGGTCTCCTCCACGGTCTCTCCTCCTCCCTCCCTCCCCTCCCCAAATCCCCTGCCCCCCCCTGCACCGTCTACGTTCAGAGCAAGCTCAAGCAGCAGCCGCACCGGAGCTCCCCCTCCGCTGCTGCGCAGCCACTTGATCTTGTTCACATGGACCTCTGGGGCCCCCAATCCCTCTCCCACTCGCCAGGGCCATCGATACCTCCTCGTACTCGTCGATGATCACAGTCGGTACTCGTCCGTCTCTCTCCTTCGGACGAAGGCAGATGCCCCGGCTGCGATCATCGCCTGGCTCGAGCGGGCAAATACCCATTTTGGGCGCCCTGTTCGCCGCCTTCACTCTGATGGTGGTGGTGAGTTCCTTAACAACCAAATATCCTCCTACTATCAGTCTCATGGCATTCTTCAGACTTACACCCTCCCTCACTCCCCACAGCAGAACGGTGTGGCTGAAAGTCGTGTTCGAGAGATCACCAAAACTGCCCGGTGTCTTCTTGTCCACGCCTCCTGCCCTCCTTCTCTGTGGGGCTACGCCCTCCTTCATGCCGCCCTCCTTACTAACCTTTACCCTCACCCTCTTCTCCCATCCACCACCCCCACTGAGCTGTGGACGAACAACAAACCTGACGTCTCGTCTCTTCGTGTCTGGGGCTCAAAGGTTTCTGTTCTCCTTCACCCCACTGACCGCTCCCGCTCTATGGGAAAGCTTGCCCCTCGTACCCTTCCCTGCATCTTTCTCGGTCATAACTCCTCCTCACCTGACTACCTTTTCCTCAATCCCCCCTCAGGTCGTCTATTCCGCAGTAGGGATGTGGTCTTTGATGAGTCCACTCCCTACTACTCCTCTCCCCCATCCACTGACCCACTCCCCCGTCTTCCCCGTCCCCTTGTCTGGTCTGACACCACCCCTCCCCCACTACTTCCTCCTCCCCCCATCCTCCCTCCCCCCCCCCCACCGTCGTCCCCATCCCACGGTGCCCCTCCCTCGTCTGGTGATATATTTGACCCGGAACCTATGTCCTCTCCCGTCTCCCCCACACATTCCTCTCCTAGTGCCCCTCCCGCCCCTCCTTCACCTCCCTCGCCGCCGACTCGTCCTTCCCCCCCCTCCCCGCACTGTACTTACCCGGTACCCCCATACCAGGTCACGTGACAGTATCCTTGGTGCACCGCCCCCTGTTACCCTCTCTACCTCTACCCTCCCCCCACTCTCCCCTCTCCTTCACCACTTCTTCCAGGCTGTTCTGCATCAACCTCCTCCTGCAGCAGCCCCCTCTGCCACCTCTCCAGCAGCGGCGCCAGCAGCAGCGTCCGCAACGGCACCCGCAGCGGCACCAGCAGCAGGACCAACAGCGGCACCTGCAGCAGGACCAGCAGCGGCACCAGCAGCGGGACCAGCAGCGGGACCAGCAGCGGCACCAGCAGCGGGACCAGCAGCGGCACTAGCAGCGGCACCAGCAGCGGCACCAGCAGCAGCACTAGCAGCGGCACCAGCAGCGGCACCAGCAGCGGCACCAGCAGCGGCACCAGCAGAGGCACCAGCAGCGGCACCAGCAGAGGCACCAGCAGCGGCACCAGCAGCGGCACGTGCAGCGGCACGTGCAGCGGCACCAGCGGCACCAACGGTCATCCGCTCCTTCCACACCTCCCTCTCCGAGGACTCGCATGAGGAGTTCCTTGACCTCCACCTCTGTGACCCTTCCCTTCTGCCCATCACCTTCGACCTTTCTGGAACACCAGTATTCGCATTCTCCTCTGCTCCCTGGCTTGCCCCGACGCCCCACTCTGGCTCGCCGCCATTATCAAGGAGCTGGAGGCCTTTGTCGCCAACTCCTCCTTCGTTGATGTGCCTCGCCCTCCCTCCTCTACGAACGTGGTGAAAGGGAAGTGGGTGTTTCGCGTCAAACAGCTGCCAGGGGAGCCGCCCGTCGATAAGGCTCGTTACTGTGCCAAGGGGTTCACGCAGCGGTATGGTTTTGACTTCTTTGATACCTTCTCTCCCACTGCCAAGCCTGCTACTGTTCGCGCAGTGCTCGACCTCGCCGCTCGCCTCAATATGGAGATCCACTCAATGGACGTCTCTAACGCTTTCCTCCAAGGCGTCCTCCGCGAGCTTATCTACATGGAGCGTCCAGCCGGTTTTCACTTTCCCTTCCCTGCAGACTCTGTCTGGCAGCTGCGTCGCCCTGTGTATGGGCTTCGACAGGCCCCGAGGGAGTGGCATGCTAAGCTTGCCGCCACCCTTGCTGAACTTGGGTTCCGCACCTCCCGCTCTGACGCCAGCCTCTTCCTCCGCACCTGCCCCTCCCCGTTCTACATCCTTGTGTATGTCGATGACATGATTCTGCTCACTGCCGACCTTGGCGAATTGGAGCGTGTTAAGGCTGAGTTGGGCAGCCGTCTCAAATGCAAGGACTTGGGCGAGCTGCAGCATTACCTGGGCATGACCATCACTCGTGACCGCTCCGCCCGCACCATCTCTCTCTCCCAGGGTCATTACTTGCAGCAGGTCTTGGAGCGGTTTGACATGGTCCGCGGTGGCGCCCAACCTACTCCTCTTTCTGTCGGGCACCACCTCTCTCCACCCACCTCCCCCTCAGCCTCCTCCCATCCTTATCCCGAGCTCATCGGCTCCCTCATGTACGCCATGATCTCCACTCGCCCTGACCTTGCCTACCCCATCAGCGTCCTCGCTCGTTTTGTTGGCGCAGGCAAGCATACGGAAGAGCACTGGCAGGCCGCCAAGCGTGTCCTCCGGTACCTTCGTGGCACCAAGGACTATGTCCTTACCCTTGGCGGTCCCTCCCCACCTCTTCTCAGCGGCTACAGTGACTCCTCCTGGGCTGATTCCCGGCCAGATCGTCGCTCCTCCCAGGGCTATGGCTTCTCTCTTGGCAGCGGCCTTATCAGCTGGCGCTCCACCCGCTCCTCGGCTGCAGCCCTCTCCTCCTGCGAGGCGGAATTGTATGCCGCCACCATGGCTGCGCAAGAGGCCCGCTGGCTCACCTTCCTTCTTGAGGAACTTGGTGCCCCCCAGCGCTGTCCTACAATTTGGTGTGACAATGCTAGTACCATTCACCTCACCAAAGATGCTGTGTTTCCACGGGCGCTCCAAGCACATTGAGCTCCGTCATTTCTTCATTCGCGATCTTGTTCGGGCGGGGCACCTTCGCCTCGACAAGGTTGACTCGGCGGCCAACCTTGACGACATCTTCACAAAAGCTCTTCCTCATGCCGCTCACTCTTTCCTACTTCGTCTTCTTGGCCTCACTCCTCCTAAGTCGCCTCCCGCCTCTTGATTCTAGCCTTCTAGCCTTATGCATGTTGGGGGGTTGTGTTGTAATTTCATATTTCATACAACATAAATAGGCTAGAAGTGTAGCACATTTATAAATTGGGGGGTTGCTTAGTGTACCCTCCAACCACATTTTGTGGTTGGTTGGGATTGGTCCTTAGCTCAACCAATCCCAACCAACACACATTTGTGGTTGCTTGGGTCACAAGCAAGCTCACCCATTGGCCAACTTATTGGCCAATAAGGTAAGCTTCCCTCTCATCTCTCTCTTGCTCATTGTTTGTACTAAAGAGCCTCTTGGCTCATTATTCAATGTATCAATTCTAGCTCTCCAACAGAGGCAGCTCCAGGTGGTGGTTGAGAGAATGCCCAAGAACCTCTGCACGCCCCCCACTTGCCTCGCTCCCGCACTTAGCACCAGCAGTCATAACGAGCCTCGTGTATCGAGGCGATTTTCGAGGCGCTTAAAAAGGCAAACCTCACCTTCCCGCACCACTACCAGTCACTCGCGCTCCGTGATCGTTTCTGCCAGCTTGGCAGTCTCGGGATCCGGCAGCTCTCTGGGGAAGGCAGTGCGGAGGAGAATCTCGAGTAAGCCAGTGTTTGAACATGGCCTGCATATCTGTGTATCTCACCACACCGCATACCACTCACTCATGTTCCGTAATGGTCTCTGCCAGCCTGGCAGTCCATGGGTCCAGCAGCTCCCTGGGGAAGGCGGTGCGGTGGAGATTATTGAGTAAGCGAGTTTTCAAACAAGCCTTGCATACCATTGTGCCCCACGAAACCACACACACACCACTCACTCGTGTTTCCGTGATGGTCTCTGCCAGCCTGGCTGTCCATGGGTCCGGCAGCTCTCTGGGGAAGGCGGTGCGGCGAAGAATCTCGAGGAAGTCAAATGTGCGGCGGGCAGCGTCGGCGCGCTCCTCCCCCGCGTTGAGATGGGCGCAGATGAAGGTGAATGAGGTTTCGTGCACCGACATGCTTATTGCAACAGAGCCCTGCATTGTATGAGAGAGGGTTTA